CGCTGGAGAACCATCATCTCCTACCGCTGGAAGAAGAGCATCTCCCACCATTGGAGAAGAAGCATCTTACCCCGTTGAAGGAGAAGCATCTCCCACCGCTGGGGAAGCAGCATGTCCCACCACTGCTGGTCAAACCAAGGCCATTTACACAAAAAGCGTGCAGCGCTGCAATAAGGAAACCCTACTGTTCTTGTTGGGGCAAGGAAATGTCCTTTCCTGCTCCATCTGCCTGATGTTTCGTATGGTTTTTTCTCCTGCTGCCCAGGTTTTCACAGGCCCCACGCTGTGCCGAGACGGTGTGGGTGGGCCGGGGTGTGTTGGCGTCGGGGCGCGTTCCAGGGGACCTGCACAGCACCGCTACTGCTCGGACCTGCAGCTGCATCAACCCGCGCAGGAGGAAGGGCCGATATGGGGACGCCCCAACAGCCTCTGCCAGCCCGTGTCACTGAAAGCCTGCTTCTCCATGAGGCTGAAACGTGTAACAGTCATTTCTCCTACGTTTCATAAAAATGGGGAATCCTTTCCCAAGCACCCATTTTTCATTGACAGCTGTTGTTAATTAGCAGCAAACAAAGGGCACTTAACGACTCGCTCAGCAGCACGTCCCTCTCTTGCCACTTGGTTACCGACTGACATGCTCAAATGACGGAGAAAATTGGAATCTGCCGCAATTATTTCTAGTATGTGTCCCTTGCGGACAAATTCAGCTACATGCAGAACCATGAATAATTTCATTTCCCTACTCAAAGCAAGAAGGAATATAATATTTAATTGCCAATTAATCTTGAGGCAACTAGAAATACAGCCAGACCCTGGATAATGAGCCCGGAGCACCGCAAATGGCAGCGGTTGAAGAGGTCGCCGGGCGTCTGGGATTCAGCCCAGCACTCCCCTGGTGCAGGGGGGGCTTCGCCCCTCAGTCCCCCCCGCGGCATCGCCCCCCTCACAGCCCCCACCGAACACCGAACAGTCCCCCGGGCTGGCTGCTGCCGGGACACGGGGCTGAACTCCATCCCTCTCCATCGCTTCCCGCTGGCGGGAAAACTTTCTCGTTCCCGAAGAAACTGCATCCACGGGCAGCTTACACATACTCGTTCTTGGGCCAGCTGAACGCTTTACCTTAATTCCTTTCCCTCGCTGGTATTTAAAGCCTGAGACACTTGTGGGGGAACAGCGGTGTTTGCTGAAGTGCCGTGGCTGGAGCGAAGAACCAGACTCGGCACCTGCTCGGTCTGAATTTGAGGGACTTGCAGACTCACTCAGCATCGGATCCAGAGAAACAGGGACGAGGAAAATTATTAATTTGTTGACATTTACCACGATGAGCACCCCGTGGGCTGCAGGCGTTCGGTCCTGAACAGGGTTGTTCCACCCATCACCGATGAGGTCTGGCCAGAAGCCACCGTGCAGGCACAGCCCCTACATTCGCAGCAGCGGGGCGACTTCTGCTCAGTGCACCCATCAGCATCCTCCTCCAACATAAAGCAATTGCTGCTGCTGTGTTTTAAAACTGTTTGACCTGTTGGATAAACCAGAGCTGCTCTCCCCGAGCTCTCACATGGGACCTGCTGCTCAGCGCCTTTCCAAGGTGGCCATAAACCAAAGTGTAATACTTAAACACAGAAATAAACATGCTGTGAGGGGTTTTTTTCCAGCTTTCTGAGTTGCGAGAAATGATCCGGTAACAGGAGTGGCCGACGTGGGTGTGAGAGCGCTGGTCGGCGTCGGAGCAAGGCATGGGTGGAGATGAGACAGCAACAGGCTTTCCCGAGCCAGAGGCTGCTCTTATCTCCCCGGCAGCCCTGCCTGAGGTCCAGCAGAGCTGCTCCTGCCCGTATTGCCCCAGCCACGCTGTCAGGATGTTCTCCTCACCCCCTGGATGCCAGCAAGGACCTGCAGGGCATTCCCGGCCGCCGCTAGCATGGGTGAGGGCAGTGGCTCTCAGCCCCCATGCGGATTTTCCTGCACTGGAGTCGTGTTTGTTTGAGTTCCTTGTCTTAGCATGGAGTAAGATAAACGTCCCCGGCCTCGGTGGGGCATCGCATGGAGGCATCTGGGTGCCCGATGGGCTCCGATGCTCCCCGGGAGCCATCTAAGGACACAGCCAACCGTATCTTCTCTGCTCACAGCTGGATGCAGCTGTAAAACCACAGGCACATTTAAAAAGAACCTCTGTGTAATCATCAATTAGTTTACAACCTGGCAACAGAACAGGATTCTGGTTCTAATTAGTTCTGACCTCCTTTAATTGAAGAGAGCTGATTGCCGGTGAGATGTTTGTTTATGTTTGATCTGCTCCATCTCTGTTAAAAATTCATCTGATAATGGTTTTAACATTTAAACTCTACTGGGGTTATTCGCGTTTTTGTGTCCGAGTGAGAACACAATTGCTCACAAAGACAAATACAGGATTTTGCTGTTATCCGTGCACTTCATCTTAGAGGAGATAGAGGCTCCTTGTGCTTCTAACATAAACACATGAATCACTCCAGCCTGCATTAATCTTGTGCAGTAAAGATCATTTAAGACACAGGAAAGGGCTGGAGTTTGCGTTCATGCCTTTTCTGGGAGCCTCTGCCTGTGGATTTACACATCTGTGATTTCCTGCCATGTGAAAGTTTTGTTCCTCTTCATGGCTTGGCAGGAAATGTTTGTATTTCCAAGAGGCGTTTCCTGCCCTGGGCTACGGCCAGAGCATTCATGTCATTTTTAATCCAGGATTTTAACATTTATTTGTGCGCTTCCTACACATCTCAGTGGTTATTCTGGTACAACCTTGGCTACGCCGTGCGGCTCCACAGCTCTCATCACCAAGCCCGGCACGGAAATTTTCCCTTGACAAAAATAGCCGGAACTGCACATCATTTCTTGAACAAGCCTGACTAATTAGTTCCTAAAAGTGGAACTGCCCAACAGACTTACAAATGCAGGAGGGGCATGCAGCCGTCGAAAAGGAAGGATTGAACGGCTAAAAGCATCCCAACGGCCAGTGGTCACAGCCTCCAAAGCCCAGTCAATCAAAGCCAACGCTTCTGCCCTCTCCAGAATAGGTTTTAGGAGGAACATGGCTGGATACAGGACCAATACAAATAGCTGGAAGGATGAGCACGGGCGTCCCAGGCTGCAGAGGGACCTGCCCGGAGGTGTGGGGCAGCCCACAGGCTGGTTCCTGCACTCTGGGCACCGGCCGCCCGCTGCCCTCCTCCGGCTCTCAGCCCTTTCCTTGTTCAATAAACCTCCTGAGGGTCTAACGGTTCTTTCTGGGCAGACAGAAAGCTTCCCCCGCCCCCGCAACGCTTTAAAAAGATAAGGTTGATTAATGATTAACGTGCTAATATCAGTGACATCTAATGCCCTCATTATATTGCTTTTCCTTTTAAGTGCTGTCAACCCTCGCAGCCCACAGATTTCTGGCTTATAGGGACCTGCCCGGTGCTGTGGGATGTACCTCTCCAAGTGAAGATGAGAGGAGAAGCCAAGCGAGTGCCCGTGGCATGGCAGAGCACCGTGGCTGCAGCCGGAGCAGGTAAGTGAGGCTGGCAGAGAGCCTGCACGGCTCAGGCTAAACTGGGACTGACTCGCTGGAGCATTTGCTCAGACGTGCCCAAAGCTGATGGAGAGCTGGTCTTTTATCTGACTTTCTCGTGGTGAGCCCTGGCTTGTTTCAAAAGGTTTGTGTTCCAGGACTTTAGCACTAAACAGCCTTCTGGCGGTCAGAGAGTTTAATCACTTGATATTTCCTTCTGGCTTCCTTTTTCTGAATTACACGTTGCTTCTGAACCAGGTCCCTGCGCCCCAGCCCTCCCCCTGGCATGGGCACTCAGGCAGGTGCCGGTGGTCGGTGGTCCCTTCGCTGGGCGACGCTGCTGCCCCTGACAAGCGCATCCCAGCTCACGTTTGTGCCAGTAAAAACCCACTCTCGGCCCCTCGAGAGCCAAATGCTCTGAATATTTATAGCTGGCTATAACATTCCCACTTAATTATCGATTAGCCAAGCTAGCCTTACGCAACTCTTGCATAAAACTCCCCCTCCATCTTCCCATGGGTACATTGCTTTTTAGCGGGCTGGCTGGTTTTCCTTCCTCCCTCATCCCTCCCCTCGCTGCAGCCAGCTCCAGCCCCGGTTCGGCAGCACCGTGCACCCATCGCCCTTCCCCACGCCCGGACCCCCGGCTCGCCCCGGCACCACCATGTCCCACCCGGGCACTGCTGCCCCAGCGCGGCTGCACGGCCCTTCCCGGGGTCCCTTCCCGGGAGCAGGACGGCGTCACGCCGGCGGCCAGCTGGGAGAGCGCAGGGCATGACCTACCCCGGCAAAATTAATTGAGTGTAGCTCGTCTTTCAGCACGGCCAGTTATTGCTGGCGCCCTCCTCCAGACTATCCGGGGGGACCGAGAAGTGAAAGGTGGGGAGAAGAAAAATAAAGAATGAGTCTAAACTCAGCTAGAAAAAACATCTCCAGTTACCGGACCCAGAAACGGGTCATGTTCTTACATGGCCTTTACTTCGTATCACGGCGCGGCTTCGAAGAGAGCGAGCAGACCACCCAGGCGGTGCACAGCGTGCCCACCCAATGCCCACCACCATGGTGCCATTTAAACCTCCGGAGCACACAGCACGCCAAGTGGCACCGTGCGGTGCCCTGTCACGCCGCTGCACGACCCGCAGCGAGTGTAGGACTGTGCACACCCGAGTTTCGAGTCGCTGTTATCAGCCCTCACTGGTGCTGTATGGTGGGAACGTGTCTCCAACCACGGCAGAGGATATGATGGAGGATGATGCATCGCTCCTCCATAAAACCGGTGACGGAGGAGCCGCTCACTCCCCAGGTAATACTCCTTAACTGAGAGCCTGGCCGGTTTTCACACCCATCTCCACAATTATTGCCACGTCTTCAAAACACAGCATTTATCCCAAACAGCGCAGGCAGGCTCTTGGGGAGCATAACCACACTGAAGAGAAAACGTTCAGCTTTCCGGGTGGGCGGGACGGTCGCTTACCTGACTCGGAGCCCTCGCAGTCCTGCGGGTTGCACTTCTGGGTGCTCTCGGGCCAGGGCTCGTGGTCGCAGAGGCTGCTGTCCTCCTCGGCCAGCCCCGTCTTGGTGTTGATGCACTTGACCTGGCGCCGCTGGATGCCCCCGCCGCAGGGAGCCGTGCACTGCGGGAGCGGGGCAGCCCCGTCCGGCCCGGGGGGGGGTGCCCCCCCCCCCCCCCCCCCACAGCCG